AACAAGTATTTTTATATCTGTTTTAACAACGCTGTTGTCAAAGAAAAAAAATTGGAGGGTGGCTTTTACTTCTAAGTAGCCCTTTGATTACAAGCTTCATGCTTTAATCAAAAGTCTCCCATTTTGTTGTAACCACAACTGACTCAGAATGCTTCTGTGGTTGCTGCTGTGCCGGAATTGTGCGAACAGATTTTTCTGGCTTCGATGGCGCTCGTTGTTTCTGAACTGGCTTTGAGTCCCTTGGCATGTGGCCAAATGGGTTTTCTTGTTGCTGCAATTGGATTTTAGCTCCATTGCTGCTAGATTTGGAACTTTGATACTTCAACGTATCCAGAACTCCTATGTAATTCTGAACTCTTTTCACCTTCAAGTTTATCAATCAACAATCAGAAAGTTTCCTACATTTAGTATATAATATGATTAATGTGCAAGTAAAATAAATTTAAAAGAGACTATAATTCTACAATACCTGCAGTCTTCTCTGCAATTTTAAATCTCCCTCTGCAACAATACCATCCAGTTTAATTAACTTCATCATCAGAAGTTCAATCAAATTGTCCACATCAGTCTCTGCAAAAGAGACTATAATTCTACAATACCTGCAGTCTTCTCTGCAACTTTAAATCTCCCTCTGCAACAATACCATCCAGTTTAATTAACTTCACCATCAGAAGTTCAATCAAATTGTCCACATCAGTCTCTCCCACTTTCCCACCTGTAGAAGCTGTTGCTTCCAAAGCTGTGACCTATTAAAGTAACAAAGAAATTAATAAAAATCTGCAATTCAATTTCTCCAAGAGACAGCATACCATGCAGTTTGTCAAATTTTTATTTAAAAAATTCAATTCAATTACCTGGCCAGCAAGCTTGTCCACTTCCAAGTTGATCTCTGCTAAGGATTTGGAAGACTTCTCTGCATTTGCATTTCTGAGCAACTCCACGCACCTCCTTTCTCTACTCACAATGTCCTCCTCCAACACAATTTTTGATCCGTCTTTAACTCTTGCCACATCAAGATATTCTTTGGAGTCTCTCTCTTTGTTTTTGAATATCAGCTTCTGATCCAGATGATGCAATTTAGTCGGTTCTGCCAACATTTTCTTCAACTCCCCTGCAATTCAAAAACCAACTTTCATTAAAATAGGAAACATAAAAACTCAATTGTTTCTTTCCAATCAAACCAATACAAAAGTTTCAAGGATTGCAATTAGTACCAAAGCTTGCTTGAGGACTTATACGAATTTCGTGGTACGAAGAGCCATACTTCACTCTAACTTTGATTGGGGGGATTGAAACAGAACTGGGATTCATCTCTGCATTGCGCTTTTGCACCAACATTCCTCCTGGCCTGATTTCCAAGTCTTCAACATTGGGACCTCCCTTGCCATCCACAGAGAACTTAGTTGCTGAAGAAAACATTTTGTTCATCTTTGACTTAATTGGCTCCATCTACACCTCTTCTTGATCTTGTTCTGAGGCTAAGTCTAAGAAAAAGAAAAACAAGTTGAACAAGAAACTTCAAGAGAAGTTGAGAGTCCTCAATGTTCTTCCCTTGAATTAGAGGTAACCCAGTAGAAAAGAAAGCACCTTTGGCCCCTACAAAAGCTAGATGGTGGAATCAAAGAAAACCCAGTAAGGAAATAATTGGAAAGAGATGGTGCAACTTGGACCAAGTATTATATTGGTCCAAATTCAATGACAGAAACTATAATTTGAAAGCAAAGAGTTTCAAATAATACTAACAACAGCCATTCACAGAGAGAAGATGACCAGAAGCATGATCAAATCTTTGAAGAGAGAGAGAGAGAGAGAGAGAGAGAGAGAGAGATAGAGAGAAATGAGATCTGTTCAAAGCAGTATAGAGTAAACCATGGAAACTAAAGAAAATGGAAAAGAAAAAGGAGAGAGAACTAATGGTCAGCAGAGAAAGAAAGTGAAGTGAGTGAAGAGAATAAATCTATGTGTACGAAGAAGGGAAGTAAAATAAAAGGAAAATCCAAATCAGATTACGTGAAGAGAAGGACAAAAGAAAAATCTCTGGCTCTTTGAGAATGTAGGGTAAAATTTTATTATGCTGAAAGTGGCAATGACAATAAGCATTTTACATGCACTCAGATTACGTGAAGAGAAGGACAAAAGAAAAATCTCTGGCTTTTTGAGAATGTAGGGTAAAATTTTATTATGCTGAAAGTGGCAATGACAATAAGCATTTTACATGCAGAAGTAAGTGGGATCCTTTTAACCCCTTTTTGATAATTATTTTTCTTCAAGAATTGCCGTTAAGCATGTTCATGTAAACTCGCAATCCAACATCAAACAAAAGGGTCCCGAGGAAATTAATGTGGAAAAGTTCATGCTGAAAGCAGTCTTTGTCACATTAATGGAAGGGCCAACATAGAATTGAAAAGCAGAACATGTCAAGTCCAACTCAGCAGAAGAAAATCCCAGCCAGTTGGCACTTGTTGTCTGGTCTGGTTGCCCAAGTGGTTGGTTCTTCTGAGGGATATTGCTGTCATTTTATTCAAGGAAATAATTGGTTTTTTTAACTTTTATGAGCAAATTTAATATTCTTCTTTTTGAATAGATTGTTATCTGTCATTCTGCACAGCATATCATATGCCGTCTTTGAAAGCTCATTGGTTAGAACATCATTTCTAGTTTATCAAATTTGTTATAGCCAATGCCAAGGTTTAAATATTCTAGGCATCATTCGGTCGTGAAAGCACAAGGTTTAAACGTTTGGGTCAAAAACAAGCAAATCAATGGTGTGTGGATATAGGCCAATGCCTTCCCAGCTTCCATTCTTTTCTTCTTTTTTTTAATCAAAGCAGCTTCCATTCAAATCGCCAATGTTTTGCACAAGTGTCTGTGAAGCAATTCGCTTATATTATATGCATAAAAAGTTCACACATGGTGATAAGCATTGAAAGTGACACCATTGGTTGTTAACTTTCTCAGCCAAATGCAATTGCAAATAACAATCCAAAAGTACCAACTTTATGTTTTTTTTAATCATCCAAAAACTTGGAAGGAGCTTTAACTCAAGTAATCAAGAGCATTTATTTATGAACCTGAGGTCCTAGGTTCGATTCCCCTCTCCCAATATCGCTGCTATAAAAAAATAAAAATATAACCCAAAAACTTATTTTCCCTAAACATACCTGGCAGCCAGTGAAATACCATTTTGATTTTGCATGCTTATTTTCTGTTAAAATGTAAGGAAATTAAACCCTTGACCAAGCATAATCCTAGCCCATATTTTCCCATTCACAGTCGCAACTTGAGCTAACGTCAAAGTCTTCCATTGTGCATGCTAATGCTAAACTACTAGAATTGCCTTCGGTTTTTTCACTTGGTATTGCAACCCTTTCCTTTTTTCACCTGGGAAAGTCATTATCTGAACGTAGCAACCCTCTTTTGCTGCTTAATATTCAGCATCACCCCATATTCTTGTTGCTATGCCCACCCTGTTTCTTCTTTGTAATTTTGTAATAATGCTTTTTCGCTTTCTGAGGTTGAACTTCAAAACAGATGAAATAGATGGTACTCGAATAACTCAATGCCATTGAAGTCAGATGTGAATCAGGCTCAATATTTTCACTAAAACAGATGTTACAATGGGAAACAAGGAGAAGTAAACTTGGAAAAGCAGTGCTCTTTTTATCTCATTCCAAGCACTCCAAAGCGTTAAAAATGCTGTTGCGGCTGACAACCTCACTCTTCCTTCCGAGCCTTTGATCTTGCAGGCCTTGGAGGTTTTATTACGTAACTCAGTAGTATCAATGCTATCGGAAGAATGGTTCCGATGAAATGCACGCTCCCATATGAGGCAAGTGTTTCACGAAGGCTTAATACCTGTACCGTTTAAGACAGATGCATGAGATACTTTAAAGCATCAGAGGATGGTATGTTTTTGCGTGCGTGTGTGCATGTGTGCATTTGCGAGAGAGAGGACTAACAATGAAACCAACGCAGGAGTAGTTCAGAACCAAGAGAGTGTAAGCAAAGTTTATGAACACCAGTATGTTCTTAACAGCATCCATGTTTTGAGGTACAGCTTGTTGCCATCTGTAAATCACTGTTTGCAGAAGGAAGTTGAAAAGAATATAATTTAATTATCTTAACAAAATAATAATTCAACAATAAAGTCGTAAAAAAAAAAAGAGAGAATAAAAGCAGCAAAATCAATACCTCTTGAACCAGCAATCATCAATGCTGACTGAACAAAGAATATGATGTACCCAGGATAGAGTCCCTACATTGTTCAAAGAAGAATGAATGACACATAAATTTAAATTTAAAACAAGCAAAATTCAAACTAATGCCGTAGATAAAGATATGAAACAAAAAAAACTAATCTGACTAATTAATCTAAGGGAAACTTAATGGGTGATAAGCACTAAAGTTTGAAACTGGGCTTGATGACACTGGATGGTGAAGCAGAGATTATGTCACTGGATAGTTCATAAGCATAGGAAATCCCATTTGGCTAGGGATGGGATGGGGCCCCAAAATAATCAGCACCAAGTACATCCCTATTAGGGAACACTACGAAGTATCAGAACCCACACACTACTCATACAAGCAAAACTGAGAAATTATATGATTTTCTTTATGAGAACTGTCAACTGGTTAATTATCTAATTGGAGTTAATTGCTTTTCCTTTTGATCTTTTTTTTAAAATTTAGGGAGATTCACTATTATACCCAATATAGGAGCCCAAATTATAAAATAAAAAAACCTATATGAAATGGACTTTAGAAACACAACCAAAGCCCATTTACAACATAACAAAAAGGCTTTTAACTTCTTTTAAATTACAAAACTGCTATTGATTTCTTAAAACAAACCCAACTCAAAAACCTCATAAAAAATCCCAAATCACTCAATAGGGCATCAAAGTAATTTAATAATTAAAATTAAATTCAATAGGGTCAGCTGTCATTTTTTGGGTTTGTTTATGGAAATTAAATAGTGTAGGGTTTATTTATAGTTTTAGTGGTAAGAATGAGTATATGACTAAATATCTCTAAAATTTATAAGAGATAGACACCTATGTTCATTCGATAGAATGAGTGCCCAAAAACCATTTAAGAGAGGCAGAGAACCTATGTATGCATGTGCAGAAGAACTACTTGTCGAAGATTTTGCTTGAAAAAACATACTAAAAATTAATTTTCTTAATATCATACATGCGGCATAATCACCTAACAATGAAAATATAAATGGGGCACAAAATCAGCAAAAGATATACACACATTGAGGATGATTCTAAGACAATTCATACTCACATGCCAAACAGCACTGACGGTCTGTGTAGTCAGCAACTGGAAGAAACCAGCCTTCTTGCCAGGTTTAACAAGCCTTTCATAAACATCTACAGAACCACAATATATCAGATAAAGCATCTATTGTAAATAGTTATCTCTTGCTTCATGTGAATAAAATACTGATAATTTCTGATGATATAAGAAAACAAGTGACAGTCTTTAACAGACCTAAAAGTAGTCAACTTTCAGCCATAAATTTCAATAGATGCAAAACTCAAGAAACAGTGGCCAAATTGTCCAGTTTAATGATCACTCATTTTCTAACTGGAGGAAAGCTATGCGTAGTTCAAACTTTAAATATTTAATACCTGGACTAATTATTCATATAGTTCTTTTCTGAATCTTTTTTGTGGTGAAAAGTTCTTTTCTGAATTTGCATATAGGAAGTCAAAAGAAAAACCCAACTCAATACAAAATAGGTTTTATAGATTGGAGATTCAAAAGTAGTTTCGAGAATTATAAAAAATCTCTGTTACCGACAACAAAGCAAAACTTAGGAAGCATGAGAGATGCTCACAATGACGTAGCCAGGTGCTGACTTGTATGTTCCAAACAAGTGGTAACTGAACTGAACTCTTTGCAAACTCAACGCCAAGAATATCAACATTTTTCGCACGATCCCATCGCGGCTTTGGCGGTGAAGATTCTGTCCAGCCAGTGAAACCCAAACCAGAAAGAATGATAGAAGCCTCTGAAATTGACCAGATGAAATAATATTTCCACCTTGCTGTAAATCCTGACATATACTGATAGCCCAACCGTTTCCAGAAACCCCATTCCTGGTATATGGGATCAGTAAATCTTGACAGAGGAAATTGAGGTACCAGATACAAATACAATGCCATACAGAATGCAGCTTGGAGCAGAGCTCGAATAGTTGCTCCATATGGTGATGGAGACAGTCCTTCCTCTGAGTGGCTCCAAATCTGAAAACAATATTTAATAACAAGTGAGAAGTGTTAATCTCAGGAAAAACAAAACTAAGAGGAAAGTCACACATCTGGAACATCATAAGCATACCCCCTTTCCTTCAGTCCAGTCAAGATAATCCTTTATCTCATAAACTGGACCAGCAAAGTGGCTACCACAGCAGAGGCAGTAACCGACGTACTCGATCAATGAAGGTAACTTAATCAAACGGTTTTTCTTCTGAGACTCAAGCAGTCCTTCCTCTTTCAGTAACCCATCATTGTAATTTATTGCACATGAGATGACCTTCAGTGTTAACACCATTAAGGCTCCTAAATATGAGAGGGAAAATTCAAAATTAGCTGACTGGTATAAACAACAAGGGTTATAGCTTCTCCAATATGGCTACAAAAAAAAAAGGCCACTATATGCATTTTCAGTTTCAGTCATATTTACAATTCATTAGAAGCCCAATATTTTAGTAACAAAAGAAATGGATTTCATCATTTACGAAACATACAACTAATGGTTTTCTTATAAGAGAATGACACTCATCATAACCCAGTAAAGATAAAACATTAGGGAGGAAACATAAGCCGGCTAGAAAGGCTGATATTGTGCTTACCAGTGGCATCAATTCCTCCTTCCTTCCATGCATCCCCACTCATGTAA